ACCTTTGACCGTGTGCTTTTGTGGTAAGGCCTTCACTACCTACCGGGCGGCCACGAGTTTATGCAGGACCGGGCTGCGACAATTTGCTTTTGGGGTTTAGGGCTAATAGGGTTTCCCTGGGTTGACAGGGCTCATACTTGGAGGGTCGGGGGACTTAGTAAGTAGGCAATATGTAGACGTATAAGTGACCTAAAAGGCACTCTAATTGGGGTTATGGTACGGTTGATGGCATAAATCCTGCATTACCCAGAACAAGGAAGATACCATAATTCCCATAGTTTAGGGTCCTTAAAGCAATGCAGGATTTCTAGCATCAACAGTACTTACAAGTCTACGTACTACCTACTTACTAAGTCCCCCAGGAGGGCCTGAGAAGGTTGGGGTGCAGGGCGAGGGTTTAGGGTCTCCCACACTTAGCTTATTTTTGGATGTTCATGTCTTTTAAGTTATTAGAAGGGCATTGATGCCAGGGACATGGAAGGGCTAAGCAAAGGTCGACGACTTTGGAGCAGAGCCCTAAAGCTCGCATGTGCTTCACCCAAACCGTCGTAACTTTCAGCCTTTACCGCGCCCCCCCCGCCCGGCTTCCACCCCTGGACCCTGAAGCCAGAGCCATGCTCGAAATTCGTTTAGTATTTAGGGTTGGGGGGACAACTTGGAACTTGATACCCAAAGTGGTGGGCACCACCCGCAAGAGCTACTAAGCAGCTGCTACACTGCACCCCTGCACGCGTGAGCCAACAACTGCACAGTGCTTGCGTGCTGTCCCTCTGGGCCTGCTGTGTGTCCTCTTTCATGTGCACATGCATACACATACACACATAAATGGTTAACTGCACACATACACACATACATACATGCATACATACATACGTATATACATCCAGCCATCCATCCATCCATCCATCCATCCATCCATACATACATACATACATACATACATACGTCCATACATCCATACATACGTACATACATACATACATACATACATACATACGTACATACTGCATGCATGCATACATACATATATATATATATATATGTGTGTGTGTACGTGTCTATATATATGTACGAATATATATATATACATATCTACATATATCTATATATATATATCTATATATATGTACCCATAATTGATGTAAACATACTTACTTTGGTCAGTTGAGCTTGGTTCCGTAGCAAGGGCCCAGGACACTGCATTACATATATATATATATAGATAGATAGATAGATAGATAGATAGTTAGAAGACCCTTGAGCTACCAGTAGTATGCTTTCAGGGTTTTTAGTGGCCTGGACTCTGTCTATATACATGAAGGGAAAACTAGGTTGTTCCGTGTTGTTTCAATTGCTATATGGTTTCTGGTTTTCTATGTGCAATCCAAGATCTTGCCCGAAATCTAACACACCGTTTCTTCGAGGGTTGCTGAACTGACGAAGGATCATGCTAAGTCCGCTGCAATTGTATTTAGGATTGCTTTAAGGGCTCGTATGGGGGTTCCCATAAGGGTTCCTATCACAGTTCCATAGCGATTCTATATGGGGTGTTGGATTGAGGCTCTAGGGTGGAGGATATAGGTTTGATACAAGTCCCCCAAGCTGTAATCAAAAATGCAACCTGCTTGCTATGTCCGGGAGTCCCAAGTACGCCTCTTCTAAGAGAGTCGTTGGACTTGGTAGGTATATAGTTCCTGTATCAAGTCAGAAGTACCATAACCCCGACCCCCCCCAGAAAGAATCCGGTGCAGCATACTTAGTTATGTTTACTACCTTGTTTCTAAGTCCCCCGAACCTCCTAGTAAAGATTAGACACAAACCGATGGGCTGAAGATGCAGGAGCAGCGCACGAACATCTTCGCTGCATGGCGTCGGTATCCTCATGCTTGCGATAGGGCGGCGTCGTCTTTCAGGGGTAGGGGTTGACTAGCATGTCCAGGCATAGAGACTGGGAGAACCTGCGTCAGGCGTCGTAGTTGTTTGGGGCATGGATTGGTTTCCACAAGCGGTGTGGCTCACAAATTTCCTCCCTATACTGCCCAGAAAAAAGGTTTGTCGCAGGAGTCAAGCTAGCATTTGTATCGACGCATCTATCACGGACAACGCCTCCACATGTTGGCTCAAATTCCTTGGCAAGGATAGTTTCACGACTGATGCAAAGTGAAGATGTACGTGATCGGTCGCATGTAACCTCCCCTCCTAAACCTGGCGCTGCACCTTGGAGACCAATCAAGTCTTCACGGGGATTCACGATGGCATTCCATCATAGAGCTACGGCATTTGTGTGTCACACATCTTCTTATGCAGTTTCTACCCTTTGCGAGTATGTCTTTGCACAATCTGCAAATTTGGCAGCTGTCAAGAAAATACTCCTTGCCTCCGGGCTGCGTGTCCCTAGGCTCGAACCCTAAACCTTAAACCGCCTAAACCCCTAAAACCCTAAAGCCCTAATCCGTGTTGCGATGAGCCGCAGCTGGATGCCTCAGCAGCGCCTGACAGGAAAGACCTCCTCTTGGGGATCAGGATGGGGAGGTCTTTCCTTCTGTGTCTCGGTATGTTGAAGCGAAGATAAGATAACTAAATTCACACATAGACCTAGTAAGATACTCACATAAGCACACCCACACACCCACATATGTGTTTATGTGTATATATATATATGATCCCGGTTCGGCCGCACCGAGAACCGGGATCATATATATATATATATCTATATATATGTATGTGCATATGTATGTATGTATGTATGTATGTATGTATGTATGCATGGATGTATGTATGTATGTATGTATGTATACAGGTATTTCTATAGCTATATATAGAGTAGAAACAACAATATTTATAGTTATATTTCTATCTATATATTTACAGCCACACACACACACATATATATATATATATACACGCACATATATGGTCCTGCGTCGCCGCGTTAGTCCCCTCCCCCTCCCCGGTGGCCGCCTTAAACCATGTCTATTTGGCAGCTGGGACCAGGTCATGTCGACAAAGAAAAAGAGGAAAACGAACAGGGCCACAGCACTCACCAACAAAATGGGGCGCGTTTTTGCGGTAAACGGTGGGGCACAGAATAGGTTAGCAAAGTGTCGCGTCTTCTTTGGTGAAGGAGAACTTAGCCAAGGTTTGTGATTTGTTTCTTTGTGTGAGGGTGTAATAGGGAGGGTGTGAGAGTGGGGTGACGGTGTGGAGAGGCGTGGGGTGGGGATGGAGGGTAGAAGCGGTGGATGGGAGGGTGGGAGCAGTGAGAGAGGTGAAGACGAGGGTGGGGGTGGGGTGGGTTGCGGGGTGAGAGTGGGAAGGTGGGATAGGTCGGACGAGGTTGGGTGAGGGGCGGGATTGATACAAGTGATAAAAGATGATAACAAGGTAAGAAAAGTGATCAAAAGGTGATAACCCTGTGATAAGAATTGGTGAAGGGTGACCAAGGTGATGAAAGGTGCTGAAAAGGTGATAAGGGAGATGATAAAGATTATAAAACATGATACAGATGATAACAAGGATGGTAGAGATGATGAAGAAAATGATGGAGATGACAAGGAAGATGATAGGGATGATAGCGAAGAAGCTAAACATGATAGAGAAACCTGATGATGAATATGATAAAGATAATAGCCCAACTTAAATATAACCACGAACAAGTCAATCGCAGCACATTTTGCCCAAGAATTGGTTGGCGAAATTTGCTGCGGTTGGCTGTTTCCTGATTTAAAATGTAACCACTAACACCTCAATCGCAGCCAATGTCGCCCAAGAATCGGTTGGCAAAATTTGCTGCTATCGGCTGTCTCCTAACTTAATAATAGCCACGAACAAGTCAATCACCTCAGTTTTGCCCAAGAATCGGTTGGCAAAATTTGCTGCGATTGACTGTTTCTTGATTGAAACCTAACCACGAGCACGCCCATCGCGGCAAATTTTGTCCAATAAACGGTTGGCGAAATTTGCTGCATGCGGAGAGTCCCGAGCCCCGGGAATTGAGTAATTTGAATATTTTAAATCCGGAGGCCTCCCCCAATATTTTTAAAATTGTTTAAACTGTTTAATTCCGGGGGTTCGGGACCCCCCAATCCCCCCTCCCCAGGATGTAAAGTGTTTTGTAAATTCTTTAAACCGTTTAACTATTTATATTATGCAATTCGGGCCAAAGAACTGAATAGATGAAATCGGAGGCTTCCCCCGATATTTAAATCATTTAGACTATTTAATTCTCCTGTTGGAACCCCTCGGAAACGCAAACCCGGTCTATTTGGCAGCTGGTTCTCGAGGTTGGGATCAAACCCATGGTTCCAGCTGCCAAATAGACCAGGTTTTGACTCACACACTGCAAAGCAAGCATGGCAGGTTTAAGGTGCAGGGGGGGGTTACGACCATGTTACACCAACCAACCCAAAAGCCCAAAACCCTGTTTTTGTTTACAGCTTTTTTGCATATTTGTTCTCTATGTTGCAGGATGATGTTCGATGTTCAGCAACACGAGGCGCTGTCACAAGTGTTCATGCCATTTTGCGAACATGCCCAAAACCCTGCTATTTCGTGCGATTTTGCCACTTTACACAACATGCTGCAGGAGGATGTTTGATGTTGAGCAACACGACGCGCTGTCACGAGTGTTCATGTTTTGTGCGAACATGCCCAAAACCCTGCAATGTACAGCATTTTTGCCTCTTTATAAAACATGGATGTTCCATGTTCAGCAGCACGAGGCCCTGTCACAAGTGCTCATGCCATCTCGTGCCATTTACGAACATGCCCAACACCCGGACATCCACAGCGCTTTTGCCTCTTTATACAACGCGCGTCGCACCGAACACATCTACAGCTGGTTCTGCCTCTCGCACTTGGATCCAAAAGCAGAAGTCGCGGATTACTTGGGGAAATGACAGCCAAAAAGGCCAAGCATAATGCAAAAGCAGCTACACGCCCGTGAATTAACAAGTACTAGTACCAGGCCGGGGCGGGAAAAGCAGCTTTGAGGCCGGCACCAGGACTCCCAAAAATCTGCGCCATGTTGGCCACCCGGCTGCCCTGATCGAAGGGGTTAGGCCTGCGCTTTAGATCCCAAGCTCGAAGGAAATTGACGAGATGATGTCACATCTCTGTCTGCTGAGTGCCCTGCATGTTGTCGTAGTTGGATTCAATCATTGTCACGTTGTCCAGAAGATTCGGTAACTGAGGTGGCGAGCTCACAGCTTAACGAGTTCTGAGTATGAGGTGGTCCATAAGCCGAAACCTGTTGTCATGTTGACATGATTTAACTTGTTTTGCTCAGGCATTAAAGACTCAGGCCCAAGCATGGGAGCAATTCAGGGGCACAAGCAGGGCGTTGGCCGCAATGACCACGCAACCCAAGAGGAGGAACTGGAAAACATAGGCATCATCTGGGCCTCAGGTGCTTGAACACAAGAATATATATATATACATACATATATATATATATGCAACTATATGTATATTATATTATATCTCAAGCTGTGGGCCGGCCAGACCCAATCTAGAGCACGGAGTACGGAGTATTCAAACAGAACTCAGTCTGAACGTCCTCTGTGCTGGTGAGCTGCCCGTGGCCTGCGGTGTCTACTCTAGTAGACGCTCTCTCACTGCTTGGGGTCCAAACTGGCATGATGCAATGCTTGCACATGTCGCTTATCCCAAGAAAGGACGTTGCCTCTGCATATCGGTATGATGTCCAGTGGCTATCATCGTCTGACCTCCGCGAAAACAAGAAACATCGATCGATCCAAGTCCAATGCATGCATGAACGTGCATGCGGAGGCATGGCAGAAGCATAGCTGCAGACCAGAATTGCCACTTGTCTTTGAAGTAGATCTTTAAAGGCAATCCTGCAAGGCTCCACATCGGCAAGGGCTTGCAGCTTGCACGCACACCGAACTCTGGCCTGAGTCCTCACCTATGTAGCAGAAACCTTTGCAGGTCTTCCTCAGGCAAAGCACGTCGGGCCGAGGGCTGCGACCGTGAAACTGCCCGGAGGGGTTCGGTGAACCAGCAGACTGCATGACCCTGGGACTCATGCATCTCTGCACATTTCTCTTTAGCTTCATGGATAGTCATCATAGCTTCCTCGGGTGGCAATTCGCAAAAAGCAGCTTCTCAGACCGACTCACAGCTCGTTATACGAACAATATCAGTCAAGTTTCCAGGACATTGTTGCCAGATTGAAGGTAACCTCTCATTTCGCAATCGAGTAGAGCAGCTCGGCAGCTCAAGTGAAGCTATGAGGTAACCACCGTACCTTACATAGACATCTCTAGGCAAGGTGCCAGCGTGCTTGGTAAAGGCAGGCCCATACATGACGTCACTGTCCATGCGCAGGACCTAAACGCAAAGCGATTGCATTCCAGACAGCTCTTCACGGCGCGCTCAACATGCACCAAAGCTAAGCCCTCCTATGCACGGTCTGAGCCCCAAGCAGACGAAAGGCAAGTAAGCAGATCGGGCAAAATGGTGCTCAGTGCAATGAAACTAGCCTCAGAATGTGTTCGACAATGTCTTCCTCTGAGCTCCGACATAAGAACAGCAGCTCGTATCCCCTAGAAGCCAAGACAGGCAAAGCAGCCAGTCCAGCGTAGATACCTTAGTGCCCCCCTGCACACTCGTACTCACCTTCAACCTGTCACCAGCGCTGGAAGGTTCTACCATACATTTTCACACCGCTGGAAAATACAAATCTCAGCAAGGCTGCCTAAGAGAGTGAAATATTTGTGGTTGTACATGCCAACACCTTAGAAGGCGAGAAGACATGGACTGCAGCACACATGCTGACACATCACTTGCCCCCGAACCATCAGGCTCTCGACAGGTCGTTGCTTGTCTTTGGTGCCAAGCAGCAGTTGTTTATCCATGGGCAGTGGTGGTCCATTCGCCTCGAGGGGGGTCAGGCAAGGTGAAAGAAGTCTCACACCGGTAGTGCTACCCAATACCGCTGCCCAGTTGCAAAATGCATCGCCGGCAGAAGTGGCAGTGGTGTGCCCTCTCAGGCCGGATGATGTTGCATTTCTTGCACCTCGTGGCCTGCAACAAAACACTGCAAGAAGAGTTCTTCCAGTCGTGAAGCGATATCGGGCTGAAGCCTTGCTTGGCTGCCACTCGGGTCTGGGATTGGCCACGGGCAGCTGCTTCTCAACTTGCCCGACGAAGCTTAACCAACGTTCCTGGCCGGGCAGAGGGACAGAACTCTGCTGCATTGCACGGGAGCACTGGAGTCTAAGCCATCTAAGCATGGCTTCGATTGAGTCCAAGGCACCGGAACAAAGCCAGGATCTGCCATGGCCGCGGCAACATAGCTGAGAAGTCCCAGAATGTAGAACAGGTTAAACCTCAGCTCCAGTCAGCTTCAGTGTGGTGCATCGGGTTCGGGAGTTGCGCTTGGTAAGCTTCCTGGACATCATCTCAGCTCTTGACATCACGGCAAAAGGGAGGACGAGGCTCTCCTTTCCAGCTTCCAGAAGTATCCTGCAACGAGAAGATGCCATTGGCAGGTCCGGCACTCAACCTGAAGAAACGGCCTTGAAAGGAAAATTGCGTTGTAGGCGTATCCTCCCTGAGCCAGTGCTGTCTGCCGTCTTCTTCTTTCTGAAGCTTCCACGTGCACTTCCAGCGAGCAGTGCTGCCAAGTTGCATAAACGAACAAGATAACTGCAAAGCTTTTGGTCAAAATGATGATCAAATGAGCAACCTCGACCATGGTTTCTTTCAGTCTTTGTGCAAGTAGCCACACAGGAATAAGGCGGTGGCATCCAGAGAGCCAGATGTATCTGGGGATGCTTCGTTTGCATACCTGGTATCCTGCACAAGACAACTTCGTAGCAACACTACGATTGGCCGAAACACTGGAATCTGAGTCGAAACCAGCCAAGCCTGCCATGTCTCTCTGGCTGGCGAGGCAGCAACCTTCATTTGCCAGTTCGTGGTCGGGCTCCAATCGTGTCAAGGATTGATGTGGCGCACAATCAGCGGAACATGAGTACATCGTTACGACAAGACTCATCGCAAACCTGGCTCCAAGAAGTCACTGCTGAGCCTGGCCTTGGACATATGGGACTTGAGCACCTATGTCCCTCTCTTTGCCCAGCCAGCTGGATGGCCAGAACAGTAATTGCGAATTGGCTTGTGCTTGCTATGACGAGCTAGAGGATTGACTTCAACAAGCAGAAGAAGTGGATTACCGCATTGATGCCTTTTGAGCCGACTACGCATAGGCCTGACCAATGTTGTCGAGCAGTCTAACGGAATAATGCACAGCACCAAATGCCGGTATCCAGCATGCAGCACGACACAGCCTGACTCGCCCAGACAGCCTGCACCAACAAGCCACCTGCCAAGAACTAGTAGCTTCTCTGTCGCCCCTGTCCTTGTCTGCAATGCAAGGGCCTCTCTCTGCCTACCTCTGCTGCTTGTCAGGCTGCAAGCCTGCGATGGCCTGTGACAGCCTCTGTGTGTGTGTGCGCGCATACGGTTACCTGCCCAGCACATGGAAGCAGGGGGTCCCACCCACATCCTTTTTCGGCATCAAAGTTTGTGTGTCTGTGTGTGCCCAGCATGCGGGCCCTAGGGTACAGTGTCCTTCTCTGCTTGTCTCTGTGTGCATCTGCCAGTCTGTGCGCACTCGCGTTCTGCTGAAACTCTGAAACTGTCTCTGTCGGTGCTCCTGTGTCTAGGAGGCTGAGTCTTTTCGCTCCAAGTCAGTGAGAAGCAACTTTCAGGGGGTATTGAATCATCAACTCTGTCTCGTGGACTTAGTTGAATGCAACATGGAATCGCCTCTGAAACTCTCATGTCTCCCTGGCTTGAAGCCTGGCAGAGGCGGATGCGATGTCGCCTAGGTGGAGCAATAGACTGCAGTGAGCTTGACACTTTTCCGCTCTCCGTCGAAATGCTGCCATGTCACTGATGCGTATACGAAGCCAAGTCCCAGCATTGAGGCCTGCATCTACAAAGTTTTGGCCATGGGAATGGGGAAGAGTTTCAGCATCTCTGCAGATTTGGGTCTGCGGTGAGTTCGTCATTTCCGGCCTAGGAAGAAATCGGTTACCCGAGCCAGCAGCACGACCTCAAGCCCGCTTCATTGCAAGAGACTTTCGAGTTTTTCGGGATGGCCCTCAGCATATCTGCGTATGCATTCAGGAGTCATATAGATGGAATCTAGCCGGCAGGTGCTTGGGTGAAAGGTGATCGCCTTTCCTTCTTGCCGTCTTTTATCTATTCAATTGTTTCCTACTCAACTTCAGCATCCAGAAAACCATGAGAGGCTCTGCACGAGAGTTGCCAGGAACGCAGGGTCCACCACCTTGTCCACTTCGGCCCTTTCAACTTTCATTCCACCGCCACTCAGGGACTAGCATCCACGATCTTTTCGTCTGACAGCCAGCCTCGGCAAGAGACGAGAAGACATGGAGGCAGTTGGACGACTCTTCTTCACATAACTCACAACTGCTAGCTAGACTCGACTCTAGATATAATGACTTTGACCAGGAATCCTGAAGCGCTATCACACCAACCCGCTGAAGGCTAGCTTGCTGCACGTGCCCCTTGCAGCATGCGCCTCGGAGAGCTGCATCATGGAGAAAAGTCACATGTCCTACTGCAGTGTTACTAAGACGAAACAGATCTGCTTCTCAAGCGGCTGATTTAACCCTTGATGCTGCAATGAACTAAGTAACTAGAGGGGTAAACGGGTACCAGGGCAAAATGAATGCGGCGCCCCCAGTGACCGTCACGAACCTTTGTTGCAGGGTGCGGGGGGTCCTTCCGCATCGTCTGCCAGCCGAACGGGCCTGGACGGTGGAGCACGGAGGATGCAAATGCAAGATGGTGTTAAAGGCTCGATCAAACGCCAGGAGCTGGGCCTTGCCATCACCAAACATTCTGTAAGTCCGATGCGAGAACGACCTGCGCGGTCGAGGCCTTGTCGCCCTGGCCTGCAGGCACAAGAGCCCCACGGATAATTCAGCTCTGATCTGCGTGGCTCTGTGTCTGGGATTCTGGCACGCCAGCTACAGCTGGCAGGAAGCCGGTGCCTCTACCTTCCACGTGCCGCGGCTTGAAAAGACATCTGGCCTCAAGTATCAACATCGACATTCACAACCAGAACAATAAACGCATCAACACCCCGCCACCACTACCATCTTCACCACCACCACCACCACAACCAC